TCAATGAATTAATGTAATTTAAATTAAAACTGTTGTTAAAAATATGCTAATAATCAAATAAATGCATATTTTATGTTATTCCATATATTGTTAATTAGCTTCCATTATAATATAGTGGAAAATGAATTAAAAGGTAAATTTAAAATTTGAATACATAATAGAATATTTTTGATTGTGCAAATTTCTAAGTTATTCAAGTCAAAGAACCTTGATAATCATAATTTAAAAGGGGGGATGGATAGTTTTATGGTAGGTATCTTTATATCTTTAATATTTTCAATCACTTTGAGTTGGCCCTTAGCAAGGTTAAAGTGAACAAAAACATTTTAATTCGGATATTTATTCTTCTTCATTTATAAGTAATTTCTATTTGGATATTTATAGGAAATTTTTACAAAAAATATAAATTAATTTAATAAATTATATTTAACTAAATATTGAAAATAATTATTATGGCATTTATGAAATCCATCCATAGTTGTTGTATTTTATAAATTTACTTTTTGTGTTTGTTATAGGCCAATTCAATGCGCCGCAAATAAGTAAATTAAAAATTTTTAAATTTGGATCCAAAATGTAATTAATTAATAATTCTCTATCTCCTAAAATACTATCATTAAGATAATTTTCATTTTATGTTAATCTAAAAAATATCTCTGTCTTTCTAAAAAATTTTCATAGACAACTTTTTACCCAACATCACTAACTTAAAGCAATTACATAATAAAGAAAATTTAGCCTATTAGAAATGTATTTCGTAAATAGTTTTCTTTTCATTTTTTTTATCTCTTATTCAGGATTGGATGCTCCAAATAATTTTAAGCGGCTTTAAGATTATTAGATAGCTTTGTCAATTTCTCAGAAGAAGATACATTTTTAACTTCATCATTTATTTTTGCAATGATCATAACATCCCTCATTTGATAAGACTCTTAAAATCCCCACATATAGATGCGTATTATAAATTAATTGAAAATTCTGATTACAAGTCAAATATTTATTGTAATTATCCTAGAGATTGCAATCTGGAATGCAATCAGAAGTAGTTTATCTAGTATGGTTCACTTAATTCTGTATATTATTCAGATTTACATACAATAAACCAGAATAAGCAAGAATAGGTGCATTAATAACATCCATCGAAATGTATTAAATCTCTAAATGCATTTTGTTCTAATTGATATCCCATTAACAACTTTCACAGAAAACCCAATAACAATCCAAACAACAATAGCCAAAATTATAATTACAGTTAAAACAATTATAATTGATAGTTTGGATGAATAAATTCATAATCTATCTCCACAATCTTATTCACAGCCATTATTAATGAAAGTATAATTAAATAAACATAAAAGAAATTAGATATATATAAAAATTATAAATTACACTGAAATTGCCAAATTAATGATCATCAAATTATTCATTCCCTATAATTAAATTATCAGCATTTGTATACATAATTTATTCTATTGATATCCTATTTATAATCTATTTTATAACAAATATCAACAATCTTCTCAACATTCTTATTTACCGAAATTACTAAAATTGAAAGTATAAATTAGAATCATCAAATTATTCTTATCCTTTTGCAACTATTCAGTATTTGAATAAAAATTCACATCTAACTTTTGTTAAGTAACGACCATTTATTCATCAAATCTATAGCAAACCCCTTAGTTGCAAGATGAAATCCATCAAAGATATTAGTATTATCCCGTTATCCATTTTAAGTTATTATTGGTATCCAAGTATCAATAGTGCCATTAATTAATATTTATCCTGACATTAATAATATTAATTTTTAAGACAAAGTTAACATTAATCTTTTAATTAATATCAACTATTATTTAAGTTGTTAGGATTAATTTGAATAAATAGAATAAAAAGTTGATTATTTTAACTAGATACGTCTTCAAATATTACTGATATAGCATCTATTGTCAGCATATTAATTTAGATTTTTAATCTTAAAATTTCGTGAAGAGTATATGCTAAAAGAATAAAATGGTACGCAATTTGTGGAAGTAGTTTTAAAGCGATAAACTATATCAATACAACATAAATTGTCAAAATGACTTATCTACATACTTTGTATAATAAACATGATATCATTAATTTGGATTATAACTTACTCTAAGAATATATACAAGTTAGCGTTTATTTTTAGACATTAATGTCTGAATTATTTTACATCAAATAACATTAGATTAAACCTAACTTACACGTATAATTCTAATAGCCCATCTTTTTAATACGGCAAATGTATGTAATTGATAAATAATAAGTTTTGTTTAATACTTGGAAGTTATCATTCTAAACTTTGGTTACGTTATTAATATATAGTGAATAAGTAAATTTTTAAGTTTCTCTATGATTACTTTTGCTGCATTCAGATCAAAGCTGAAACAATTTTATCTAAAAATATAAATGAATTGTCGGGTAAGAGAATTACTTTCATTGATAAGAATGAAAAATATTGATAATATGAATTCATTTTGAAATAAAAGCTGCTTTATTTGTAAAGAAAAGTTTCTGTAAAATTCATCTAAGGATAAAGGTCACTTCATCACATCTATAAATATTAAAATTTAATTATATCTTAATCCTTTTTTCACATAAATATAAATATTCGACATTATGAATTAAAACAATGATATTTTTAATTATAAAATAATATAAATAATATTTATATACTGGATAAATTAAAAATAAATATGAAATTGAGTTCTAAAATAGATTTTGAGCTTGTCTAGAAATCCTACACATAATCATTTTTATAAGTTAGATATGATTTTTTATATCTTTATCATGTGTATGCTATCATAAATAGATGAGTTTACTAATGTATGCATCGACATATACTTCATAAATTTTAATAAGCATACTCTAACTTTTCTATTTCAACTGTTCAATAATCCTCAATTTATTTCTAGGAATATTTATTTAATTTTTCAGCCATTAATATTTCCTATATATCTTTCATGTGATTCTTTTCCTTATTATTCAGCAGAAAAGAATGCCACATTTGTATCTGCCAAATTTTATTCCTAAGAATACCAATATCTAATAAATGGAATTTTAACAAACAGAGTGACATATTTTAGATTTCCAGTCTATTGAGGAATTCTGGTGAAAGATTCTTTAGGTGATAAGGAAAGTTATAATTATTTAACTTAAAGGATTGCTTAGCTTAAAAACATAATAATAAGAATTCTGATTTATGT